ACTGACCTGAAAAGTTAAAATGAACAGAAAAAGGGAAAGAAATTAAAATTTCCCGGGACCATTTCAGTGTTTTGCCTTTTCTGAATCATTTTTTCCCGTGCCATGTCCTGGCACTGGCTCCTGTCGGCACAGCTGTGCCTTGGCTCTGCTCGGGGGCCGTGACACCTCTGCCACCCAGCCGAGAAGCACTGAAACCATTCTGCAGGCAAGCGAAAGGGGAAGAGAAAGCAATGTGGGAAAGAGAGAGAGAGAAATAAATAACAAGCAGAAGCTGGCAGCGTCAGTGCTCAGCAGCCGAGCCGGCAGCGCTGCGGGGCCCGGCCTTGGTGCTGCCTGTGCCGCCTCACGGGTCCCGTCAGGGCTGCCCCCAGCAGCCAGGTCAGGGCGGAAAGGCGGCCAGTCGGTGCCCGGTGCTCAAGGATGGCTGGGCAGGAGCAGAGCGGGCTGGGATCCCCTCCAGCCACCTGGGGCTGCATCCCACCGGCAGCTTCCAGCTCCTCCTGTGCCAACACCTCCGTGCCGGAGCGCCCCGGCTCGCCCCGGCCACGGCTCCCTCTCTGGGGCACCCCAGGCCGCGCCGGCCCTGCAGCACCTCGCCTCTGCAGACCTGTTTAACGACGTGCAAAGGGGACAAAACCCTTGACGACAAGCTCCCTTTTTAAGTGAAGGATGAGCCACAGTCAGTCTCAGCAGGAAGGGAGAGGCCCCGGCTCAGCCCCACGCAGTGTCTCAGGGTGACACAGCTCCAGCAGGGCCAGCCTGCGCTGCGCCAGCCATGGCGCCGAGGACACAGCGCAGTGCAACAGGCCGTGGACAGTGACCCACGGAGCGGCGACGGAAACACCTGGCGCTTTTCTCTATAAATACACAGCCTAAGGTCGGTGAGTCAGTTCTGCTTTTTCTTGCCACGACACCTCTGCAATTGCCTTGAAAACATCTGTTTTCTGTGGAGTTACAAGAAACAGCCACCTCCACCACCATCTGGCAGGCTCCTGAGCTCTGCAATTTGGACTTTAAATCAACTGAACTAAGGCTGAGGCCCAGAAATGACTACTTCATACCAGTATCCTCAGAGATCACAACAAATAAATATTTTTTAAAAGCTGCAGAGCTGCTCTCAAAGCTATGAGCCCTTGGATGAGAAGCAGCAGAGGCTGCAGCTCACCATGCACAGGGTGGGTTCGGGGGCTGCTGCTGGAGGACTGAAAGCCAGCCCGTTCCCCCTGGTGGCCATGTAAGAAGTGTTTTCTCTCCCCACAAGCCAGGGACCACTCCTTTGCATTAGTGAAGCACCATCAGGTTCAAATGAAACTCAAAGGATGCTGTTAAACTGCATATGAATTAGTAAAGGTTTAATGAGCTTCCTATTATTCCAATGAAGTCCAAAATTTGCCAAGTGAATTTCTAAACTTCAAGGAGAGCCCACACTACCAGCTGAAGCACAGCAACAGCAGCACACCTGATGCATGCAGAGCCAAAGGCTGGGGCCACCCTGCCCTGGGCAGCAGCCCTGCTCAGTTTAAATGCCACCATTGTTCACAGCCACTTTTAATAACCAACCATCAGCCAGGGAACTAAGCTTTGGTAAACAGCAATTTTCAAATATTATTCATGAGTCAAAACTTAGCTCCTCCTGCTTTTCTTTTCCAAAATAGTCCTATGTGCTGAGCACACTACAACTAGAAAAATCTCACGGCAAAATACATTCTCACCTTGTAATTACAGGAAAATTTTCAACAACCCCAAACCCTTTCAGTTCCATTTTTATGGCTATTACAGCTAAACTCAGGAGACACAAACACCTGTGCTCTGCAAGGACTCAGAAGCAGCTGCTGGAGAGCAACTGGTCCTGCTGAAAGAGACTGAAATCTGGTTTGCTGGAGCTGGGGGTTGAAGCAGGGCAAGGGAGAGTGAGGCCCAGCTCAGAGAAGCCGTGGCAGCTCCTGTCTGTGCCTGTGCAGGCAGAGACACGGGCACAGCAGTCTGGCTGGAGAAGCTCTGCTCATCCATATCCTGGCCAGCAGCTGTTTGCCATGGCCTCTTGACCCCAGACCACACCAGGGTCCTCCTGACCCAAACCAGTCTGGCTTTCTGTTTCATTTTTCATAAATCAAATTACTGGTCCTGCAACTCTGAATATTTCTGTGTATAAGAAAAACAAAACAAAAAAAACCAAGCCAAGCCACGGTGAAATTTTGCTTGAATTTTGGTAAGTGGAAGCCCCACAGAGACGAATATTTTCAGAGCATGCCTTCAGCTCTCACCCAGGGGAGGCTGCACTACCCAGCTTTGAAGGTTCGTGTTTTGATTAATTCATGGACCAGCTCTCACAAAACTCCTCTGGAAGGCAGGGAAAGGTAACACTGCCTTTCTTCTGGGCCAGCAGCAACCAAAAATGCTTTGAAAATGATGCTAAGCTATGGCAGAAAGATGTAGTATTTCACATACTTTTAACTAAGTCAGCTCAAATACATGCCAGTGCTCTAGCAAGGTGTGCAAGGGCAGATGGTGGACACACCTGCACCATCAAACCCTTGACAGTGCACAAAAGGCAGTAGGCAAAGTCTCTTAAGGCTTCTTGGAGCATTAATTGCTAAACATTAACTTTATATTGCAGGCATGAACATTTTCTCTAACCAGCAGGTCCACTGCCAAGGCCAAATATCAGATAGAATTTGCATTCACTGAGCACTGAGAGAAAAAAGTCTTTACAAGAAGTGTCTTTGCACCAATCTGAGTAAGGAAGGCGTAAATAAACCCCAGCTTCTGGGGTGCCTTTTAAAAAAAGAGATCCCCAAGTATCCCCAAACAAGCTGTTCTCCTTTCCCATCTTCCCAGAAGAAAGCTGCAACACTTGGCTGCCTCTGAAGAAATAGGGGACAGCTTTAGTATCATCAGTGCCACCAGAGATGTGACAAGGTGATCACAACCTCCTGCTTCAGTGTTACTGTATCATTACACAAGTCATCCTTAGCAACAAATCTTCTCACAGAGAACTCAATAGCAAAAGGACAAGGCAACAGCTGCCTCCCTGACCTTGGTTTTGTCTGTTCAGTTAATCACAGCTGCATTTATACACCAAATATAATCTGCCTCTGACCTTTCCTAAGCAACTACGCCCTCTACTTAGGGCTTGGTTTGTCAAATCAATCCCTGAACAGCTTAAAAAGATCTTGCACAGGGCAGGAAGGAAAGTCATTGCTCAGTTCCATGCAGGACTGACTCCATCAGCACATGTCCCTGTCCTGCCATGGACCACCCCAAACTGCCACCCCAGGCACAGCCAGCAGCTGCACAGAAAGGCCAAGCCCCATACCTGCAGTACACGTCCCCACCACAGAGCTTTTGAGAGGGAAAGAGGTGAATTTTCTTTCAAATTACTTATCTACTTATAGGATGAGAATTTCAGGGGAAAGCAGCTTGGGTTTGCTTTTTTAAAAAAATGCCTTCTATATCTCTTCCCTAATCCCTTTCCAGCTACAGACAGACATTAATTTCTTCCCCATCTCTCTACTAGCAAAAGCTCCAGAACATCTGCTAGAAAAGTCAGGGAAAAGAACGAAAGGAGCCTGAAGTAGGGAAATTTCCTATACCCATTTCACTGTCTTCCTGTGGTATGTCCCACAGCAGGCACCAATGCACAAAACAGAGGTGGTAAGAAAGACAGCAGCCATAAATACAATGGCATCCATGCCAGCCTGATTCCCAAAGCCTCCCAGTCACACTGCCCACCCACACCCACCACAGCCCCTCATACACAAGAGCACAGCACACTCACCTAGAAGCACTATTATTTGTATAAGTTACATTAACCTACCCCTTCTCTCAGCTCATGATCAATTTTCCCCCTGATGTTCTCTCTCATAGCTGCAGGTTTTGATCAGAGCCTGTCTTTGCCCTGCTAGTTTGCTTTTGCTGCCTTGTCCACAGAGCAAGTACCTGCCCCAACAGCCTCCTTACCCACTGAAATGTCTCGTCCCACCTTCTGCCACAAAGCAGCAACCCCTTACTGAGGGACTCCTGCAGTCTTGCCTTTTCCTTCCTCTCATCAGAAATATTTTGTGAAATACACCCAGGAGCAGAGTAGTGAAGTGTTAACGTAACTCGGAGACTTTACAGCAACTTCTTGTCAATACTGTGTGATTCTGCCTTGCAGGTGATATGGCCAAAGATGGTCTGTTCTATTAAAAACCCAGACTGGTGCTTCCCCTGGAGCCATAAAACTGTCACTGGAGCAATCTGTTCCCATCCCCTCCCCACCTCTAGGCTAGCACTGGCTTCCCACAACACTAGGGTGAGACTCAAGGGCCCCAGAAGGCACCCCCACCCAGGCACAGCACTTCAGGTCTGGCACAGTGACAGGGCTCTGCTAACACAGCCTCTCCCTGCAGGAGCAGGACAGCAGCAGGACACAACCCAAACCACACTGTCTGGGAGTAGGGAAGAGTTTTTGGCCAGATAGACACTGGTCTGAAAATGGTGTGCTATGAACACACTTATGAAGGTTAAAACTGTCTTCCCCTGGGCTCTATCTCTTCACCATCATGTAAGAGCAAAGGATAAAAATACATCATTTTGACCATCCTTCCTAACACAAAAAATGGTATTTTCATCTGCTATCCCCCTTTCAGAAAATACACACCACATTAACATCTGGGCTTCTGTTTCCCTTAGGACTCCCATTTTTTCATCCTACATTCACTTTTGCATAATGCAAATAAATGTGACCCAAAAAAGTCCCCGCAATAAACTATTATTTTCTCCAGGACTCCCCTGCACACACCAGTTAAGGTGCTGACAACACATGGTACCAGCAATACTACTCCAACCACCAAATCCACTGTGGAGAGAAAGCAAACAGCACAGAGTCAGCTGATCCTGCATTCACCCTGCAATGCAGCACCTCACATCTGCAAGCTGATCATAAATTTTCTTCCATTAGCAACCAGCCCTCACACGAGTTTTTTTAGATAAAACAACATGAATATGCCACACAAGGATTTAAGACACACCAAGCCACTTGGCTCTTTTATCTGAGAATAGAAAATAACATTTAAAGTTCTGCTACAGGAAGTCAACTGAGATCAGTCTCTCCTACCAGTACAGTCTGTTCCAAGCAGATAAGAAACAAGTGTTAGGAAAAGCCCAAAGCAGTCTGAGAAGAAGTAGGAAAGAAATCTAAGAGGGAAGTGCCAAAGAGAAATGGGAACGAGAGTTTCTCAAGCTGCTGGAGTTCTAATCAATGTTAAAAATGTTAAAAAAACAAAGCACAAGAGAAAACCCCAAACCTGGCTGTCATCCCCAACGGCCTGGCTTCCTTTAACTTTTTTCTCAATAGCCAAATTCAACAAAAGTCTTTCCTTATTTCCCATATTTTATTTAGTATTTCATTTCTTTTTAGGAAGCCCTTCGCTTTGCATAGCAAATCATCTGTATTATTAACATTTTCCTGATCAAAAAAGTCCAAGTGTCCTAGAAAGTACATTAATGGAAGTCAGCAAAATCTGACAATGCCACAGAGATTTTTATTTTTCTGTAATTAGTCCTCTTAATTAAAATATTAATTCCATGGTAAAGCCAGGATCAGCATCATCTTCTAACATATTATTAAATCAGTTTTGCTGAGAAGGAATCATATTAATAATTTTTTACACTGGTGGAGTAACTGTTCAACCACAGATGTACACCAGTAGTTGAGCAGTAACATGATGTTCCATTTCTCAAAGCACCATTTGCATTAATAACATTCTTTCTCAGTAGCATATTTACAATACAATATTGCTCTCTTCATTTAATTTACAAAAACCTTCTTGAACAGCAAGGATTAGTTCTGCAGATCCTGTCTCATCTTCTGTCTGCAGCAATATGATTCAAATTCCCTGAAGTCATCTACTATCAGCTCCACACTCCCTGCCTGGCCTAGCAGACCTCCCAGCTGCCCTGAACTGGCAGCTTCTTGCCCCCTTCTCCCTTCACTTCTCCATTTCCAGGATGTGGATGCTCCCATGGCTCCCACATGAGCAGCACAGATACAACAAAGATTCCATCAAAGCCATTTCATTACCAAGAAAGAGGCATACAAATATTTCCTGATTTTTTTACTAGGGAGTCTTGCCTTTTATCAAAACTACAGTCAAATGCCTCACTTAAAGGGTTTCTTATTCCAAGTCCAAAAGCTGTGCAGGCTGGAGCACATTTTTGGAGTCCTTGGGCACTTCCACACCAGTGCTGGAAGTGACGCTCTCACTGTTGGCACAGTGGAATTCCTCTGCTCCACACGTTTCTTCCACCAAGGAATGGTGGGGTTGCAGAAAGGCAGTGGTTGTGACCAACATAATGGCTTAGGCTCCACCCTACCTACTCTCTTGTTCCCCTCTTCTTCAGGATTTTTAGTATCGCTCCCCAGCTGTATGAAAGGCATCTTAGCCCTCAACCCTATAAAAGAATAAGAAAAGCCAATCCTCCATTTGCACACTTGAAAGAAACTCCAGCTTTGTTAGTGTCCCTCTGTGGCTGCTCTTTCACACATCCCACTTGTACTCTTTTCTCCTTGGGGCCTGCAGCCTTCCCAGGCATCACTAAGATGCTTCAGTGGTCACAGGCAGCCACCACAAAGATGTTCAGCTCAACCACGAATACTGTATTGGCAGCAACACTCCTTCACTCTCCAGAAGATTATCCACCTCACTGGTCTCACAATTTCCTGTTTCCACGTGCACTCAAAGACAAAAAATTACACAAATTGTTTTGTTGGAGGTTTGTTTTTTTTTTTTTTGTAAAGGCTTCAATTTTTTGCTGCCCATCAGCACTGTCTCAGCATATTGCACAATGTTTTCTTTATTATAAAAAAGTCTGTATCAGGCAGGAAGAAAAAAAATTTTCTCAGGAGGCTAATGTGTACTATTGTCTGTAATTAGAGGTAAGTGGTTGCTTGTGTGGCCATCAGGAAGTGGGACCTGGTGAAACAAAAACAAGGCGTTATTAATAGCTTGGCCAGAAACAGAATCTCCACCCTCCCTCCTCAAAAACTTCTTTATTCTTGCTCATTTCCTGGACGCCTTTTACCTGGCCTCTCATACAAACATTACAGAAATTTGGTTGCCTTCTTTTCTCTCTCCCCACTCACATAAACTTGACAGCTGGCAAACTTGAACCAAATTTGAGAGAAAGGCAGAGGTCTCAAAGGCTAGCTAGAGGCTTATATGGGAAAAATAAGAGTAATATAAAATTAAGTAGTTGCTAGAGAAGCAATTCTCTTATTGCCTAAGGAAGGGAAAGGCGAAAGCTCAGCTCTTTCACACTCCTTGGCAGTAGCCTGCAGAACAATAAGGAGCACCACTGAACCCCTGCAGCACACAGTGCCTCTTCTTCAGTGTGCAGGCCAAGCAAAAGGATATATGAAACCAGGACAGGGAGACTGACTAGGCCTGGGAAACATGCAATTTTTGGAGCAATGTGAAAATAAAAAGAATATAGTAAAGACAGTGAAGGGAATGTAGGACATCTAAGAGACTCAGCTGTATTAATTACATTTGGTAGAGAACTCTGCTTCTTTACATTTTAGGTCTTCCAACTATTTTAAAAAGCTGCTAAATCTCTGCTAATATGCATGTCAAGGGGAGGGTTTATTGCAAATATCTTAAATTCTCCTAGGACCGTCCCAGAGTTGTCTTTATCATCCATCCTCAGGTGTACCACTTAGAGAAACACTTAGGGGAACTTTTCCTTACCGATGTGGATCTGTAAGAGCCCAGCCTGAAACGGCAAAAAATAATTTCTGCTACAAATCTTCCAAAGCCATGTAAAATTCCTGCAATGTCAAGCAAGATTTAAATTGACACCAGCAGTAAAAATATATTATTTATGGAAGCATTGCAACAAAGCTAGGCACCATACTTAAGACAGGACACAGTGCAGTAAACTCATACATAAAACACTGAGAAATTAACATGATGAATGGAAATATCAAGGGCAGGGCAGAATTCTAACATTCTGAAATGCATCAAGAAAGCAAAGCTACCAAGTAAACATAATTCCCTCTTCCAGCTTTCATGGGTGAAAATATAATGTGTGGGACAGAAATATCCACTTTGAAAAGCAGCTCTTAGTTTGACGCCTCTTTACTGAGCTCTCTTCCAATGAGAGCCAAGGAAAGAAATAAATTGCAATCCAAGTACCCTGTTATGTCTTGACCAGTAAGTGAATTGTGCCTTTTCAACTTGGTTTATTTTCTTTGATGAAGCAAATCCAGCAGTACACTGAGAGGGAAAATCTTCCCAATTACTTCAGATGGAAATTTTATCTCAACTTTTGTCATTGATTTACTTACTGGATCCCAACAATAGGAAATACAGAGAGTATCAGTATGTGTGTGTGTGTACATAATATACATAGATACCTATATATCTATAGACAGATATAGCCTTGCTCTTCCAGAAGTAAATAAACTTTGCTATAGTAACCGAAAAGGAAACATCAGGCCCTCAGAACACCAGAAATGCCACACTGGGACACCAAAACTGAGTAGCTTTCACAGCACATCTCAATGTACACAAACGAGCACTTCATCTTAAACCTGCTAAAAGGGCTGCCTGTAACTTATCAATAGCCATGACAAAATAGCCAATCACCATGACAATAAAAACCCCTCAAAACAATAGAACTTAAGAAGGAAGGCACTGATATTCACCTGTAGTTGAAAAAATTCCACCAATAATACCACAGAGCCTTACTAAGAACTGCCAAAAAGGCATGTGTTCTTCTGTCACTGTCACCATAAGTGAACTGATGTCATATTTCATGAATATTCCTGACACCCCATGGCTGCCAGCTGCATGGTTAATTACTCTTTCCTGAAAGAAAAGACAGAAACACTTGTTAGTCACACTAGTCACAAGAAAATCAGTCTTACAAGATGGGATGACAAGGAGTTATTTAATCAGAGTTAGCAATGAACTAAAGACTGGGGAGTATCAAGGTCACTTTGACCAGTACCTTCTAATAGTCAAACACCATGAAGTAAAAATTTACTTTCCTGGTCACTGGTCTGCTGTGCTGCATATCAATATTCACTATCGTGCCTTGGTACTATTCTCTCAAGACTTGCTCACATGGTCCTTTAAACAGGATTTTTATAACTGGATTGGTGTTGGTAACTATGAGGATAATGCCACAGCCTGTGAACTCAGGGACTGCACTGGTGTAATACTTGCCACAGCTCTTCCTACTTTATCAGCCACTATGAATCACTTAATTCAGCATGAGACCTTAATGAGATTTACATTGTTGAACAGCCTTACCAATGGCAGAATCCCCAGAGGATTTATATAAATCACAGAATGGCAGGTTGGAAGGCACCTCGAGGAACACCTGGTCCAACCTTTCTTGGCAAAAGTCTCTTTTCAAACTTTTTGTCAGTTACATTGCAATAGGCAACAGTCACACAGCAAGAAATACACCTCAGTAAATAAATAAACACTCCAAACTATGACTACCAGGCACCTCAGTCCTAATCTAAGAAATTTCTAATTTCTTTTCATTTGCCAAATTCTCAAACCAAAAGACACCAAAGAGGAGAGTGTGGCTGCTATAAATACCTACTTTAAAAAAAAGGTTTCAGGAGAGAAGACACCTCAACACAAGCTTCTTTCAAAAGTTTGGTGTTATTTTGTTGTTAGTGAAAGGTGTTGATAAATGCACTGCCAAGTAAGTCTGGCTGAAAATATATAAGGACAGCAGAAAATAACATAATGGACTGAAGATAAACTAGTAAGAACAAAAAAGACAAGATAAACAAAACTCAACAGAAAAGCCATATTTCACAGCTCCATTTCTCTGTATATTTAACAGTTTGTGCTCAAAAAACATACAAAATATGGTATCATAAAAGCAGAGAACCATTTTGGAAAATGCAGGTTAAGCAACTTCAGTTAGGGAATATTATCAAAAATCATACTGCTTTTTATGCTACCACACCAAAATTAAAAGGATGTCAAAATAATGTATCAGTAATGGTAAGAGATCCCAAAAACTCAGCAATGGTTAAATAAAACAAACCAGTAGAAAATGCTTTCCATATTTCAAAGCATGACAACTGTCAGCATTTGAAGATGGATGATCAGTCATAATAAAAAGGAAGAGAAGACTGAAGGTAGGTAAACAGAACCTTGCCACTAGCAAAGGACAAAACCCTACTTTTGTTTGCTTTTTCTCTGTTATTTCCCTAAGCCTTACTGGTTTTTTGAGGTGAAATGGTGGGAAAAAGAGTCAAATAGAACACACAAAACTCCACCCTTAAAAGAAACGGAATTCTTTTTCTGCAAACCATTTTGATCTGCTTCCAGCTTCTACTGCTGCAGAGGATTTAACTTTTGATTGCTAAAATCTGCAAAAAATGACTAACCTTGCATCAGATAGCTCAGTGAAGCCTTGCTAGAATTAAATCTTCTAATATAAATAACTACAGTATCTCCACCATCAAGAATAGTGGAGAAGATTCAGCCCACACCTCAAACTCTGCTTCCCCATGTGCCCAACACTGGAAATTAAACCTCACTGCATTCAAGTTTGAGCCATGGCTGTCTGACCACCTTTTTCCATGTCTGCATATGTGCCTACTCTTTCAAAATACATGCAATAAGGTGTTCAGTGAATAGCTGTTCTTAGTAACCTTTCCCAGCTCATCTAACAGAAGTATTTGGTTCCCTAAGAATAAACAGAAATAAGCTTTGGAGACAACAGGGTTGCCTACTGAGGCAGAGAGAGCAAACAATGGACACTTTATCTCCATTATTCATAGGCTCTTCTCCCAGGCAACCTGTGGTTGTAGCAATTTATAAAAATACATCCCCACACATAACTGAAGAGCTAACTTAGACTGGACAGCTAATTAAAAGAACCACTGTTACACAGGAAGAGAGAAAAACTGAATACAAGATTAAAAAAAAGGAGCAATAAGATAAGCTGTTGACTGACATGCAGAAGTTTAAGGAATGCCTTAGTTGTCACAGATTATGCAGAGAAAACACAAAGCAGATTGCTAAACCAGCAGGAGGTAGGAATTTACTGCATTATGAAAATTCTCTTCATTCTCTCTTTAGTCCAGCTTTCATGAGTTTTGGACCAAACTTTTCCCTTCAGTAGCCTGCATGTCCAAAGTTGAACACCAAGGCATCACCTCTATCCTACTTCCCCTACCTCAGCATTTTTCAGAAGTACGACATGGAATTGTGAGGAAATAAAAGATTCTTCTCCCTTGGAGAACATCACAAGATGTAATAGAGTTAACTGCCATCCTACTAATACCCACATTTTCTTTCAACCCAAGGCTTTCTTCTCACCTCTCACTTTTATCTCCCATTTTTAATTAAATTTTTGACAAAGATTTTTTTTGTTTGGCTTTTGACTAAACGATGACAACAGAGTTCAGTATCTGAAAATAAGACATGTAGCCAGTATATCCATGCTTTTTTCCTATTCACAGCAGTCTTTAAATTAGTACTTTAGGATACATACTATGCTGCATTAACTACCTTTGTAATGGATTCAGAATTAAAAGCCTCTCAAAACCCAGATGTGGAAGCTCTCTAGTTTTGAGAGTAATTAAATTTGGTGGTTCAACAAAGGTTAAACAAGACAGGTGAGATATCTACTGTGTAATCAGTTTTTTATACAAACTACCTGTTTCCATTTCTTACACCCCACAACCAATTTCAGGATATTCAAGTGAGCTGCATCTTTGTTTGCTTCCCACATGGATAAAAAGCTAAAGGTGAATTAAATATTTGCAAAGCTACACACTAGGTTACAGACCTAAAATTTGGAGGATTTCACCACCACCACTATGAGCACCCAGTGAAGTAGAAACTACTGTCTATCACTAATTCTAATATCACACTCCAGATCTACAGACACAAAATATTAATAGAAGTTTGCATGTGTCACCAACATATATATATTTTACCATCACTGCTCTATGATTTACAGATCAATCTAGTGTACTAGAATGTTCTACAAAGAGTCTCTTCATACTAGAGTGCTTTTCAAAACCATGATACTATTTTAACATTTTAAATTTTGTTTTGAACAATCACTTTTCGTTTTTTTACCTCCATTTTTTTTTTCTTTCTTCTACTTACCCTTTCTGTCACTGAAAATTGATGGGTTTCTGCTGAAATTTTGTATGTATGGAGTTTGGTTGGCACAACTGTGATAAAATATTGGAACATCTGATTGTCTAGAAGGAAAAAAAAAGATCTTACTGTTGAATCAGGAACAGAGTCAAGGGCCATCTGAGATATTAAAAAATAAATCAACGAAATAATAAATCAGCTAAGCCATTTGCACTAGGGACATTCTTCAAGGAATGCCAGCACTGCCAAAACTACTTCAGCATCATCTACACAGTTAGTTTCCATGGAAAAGACATATGTCCCATTTATATTCAAAACCTTACATTTTTCCCATGTAATGAAAGGACTCACTACGTTCAGGCCATTCAAAGCTTCAAACGAAACACAAAGGTAGTGGTTTTTTTTGTTTCTGTAGAATAAGTTTCACACTGTCACATGTTTCATGATATATGCTAATCTCAGAGTGGTCTGAATAGATTTTGGCCATTGAATTGTATCTACAGTGCTAAAAGCCCTTCTAAACCAGTTACAGATTTTCTCTCGATTACACTTGCAGAGAATTCTTCTAGAGCTATCAGCATGCTTATGTATTTGATTGCTCTTTGTGCAGTTCCCTAAGGGAACAAACACCAATGGACCAAAGCAATTTATTTCAACTACTCTAAACTATTCTGGCTGTAAGAGCCAAGGAACTGACTGGCTTTGAGACAAGAGCAGCTGTAGAAAGTTCTGGGGTTCACTCTCACAGGGAATGCCAGTGGTCAGAGGAGGCAGGTTACTCCTTTATTTATACATGAGGAAACAAAGTGCTACACAAAGCCATCCTGTTTCATCACAAAACACACTGTGGAAGGGACAAACCAAATACAGGAATAGAATCCAAGACTCCTAGTGCTATTTTTTAAACCAAATCAGGCTTATTTTTCCCCATTATGACAACAATCAGATCTATGATTCTCCACTGTAACATACTGATGCAATATGGTCAGACATAGTGTAACTTCAACATAACAAACCTGGAAAAAACTGCAAATCACCTTCAAGGAAACAGCACGGAACAGCAATGCATATATTAGAAAGAAATGCCCCTTTAAGATGTCATATAGGTAACTCAACAGGGCACTGCTCACTACCAAATTTAGCCTAACATGCTGCTCGTCAATCACAACATTTATGAAGAACTATAATAATTTAAATGTAACTATTGGGAAACTCAACAAGATTTTTTTTAAACACACAACACTTACGATCTGATGCAATTTTTTCTGTTCCATCCAACGGATTAATAATTCCTGGAATAAGCTCTCCAAATGACAAATGATCTATTCTATGGGAGAAGTTATAGGCTGAAAGACAATATAGAGAAACGAAGCATTTTTAAACTATGAGATTCTGTACTTAGAGAAAAAGATGCACCCATTTCTGACACTGAAATATTCTAATTAATGCATTTACCAAACACCACTGTACACGATTGGATCTACCCATGCTTCAAAGAAAACTGAAATCCAAAATATTTAACAAAAAATTTAAATTTTTCTAGAAAATAGTTTCTAAACCAAATCGCAATTATATTTGAATCAATGGTGGAGCTGAACAGAGTTACAATTTTATAGCAGAGAATTTCTAGTTGGCCAAATACTTATATTATTCTACAGTTTACGTTCTTGTAAACAATTGCATTAAAAAGACTAAAATTTAGCAATTCAAATGTATAAAAGATGTATAAAGCAGCTGCTAAGTTACTACACTGCCTATTTTGCAGGTACTTATGATGTATAAAATTATTAAAGTTGTGTTAACATAAATTCATGGGCAGACATTTAGAGGCTTAACCAACTGTAACTGGTTTAATCAAGTTAATTTTTCGCCATAAGTCATCTTTGCCTCACATTAAGTAAGCAGTTAAGCATTAAGTAACATAAATTTAATATCTAGACTCATAATCCAAAAATTAAGTTTCTAAGGAAAAAAGTCATAAATTTTTAACCTTTTAAGGTCTTCGAGGAAGAGGTAATTTGGACTGAAATACAGAAATTTTATATGGTGTCTATGTTACAGCAAAATACATCTGAGATTCCAGTGTTATCATTACTACAGAAGCAATCTAAAGATAATTCTAATTGTATAAATTTATGAAAGTAAATTGTTATGGAGTCAGATCATCAGAAAGAATATTCTTTACCTTTTTTTTTTTTTTCCAATGCAATTGCACAGCTAGAACATCTTTACAATAGCAACCTAACATGAACTAGGAGACAGCAGTCTGACTGAAATGAATCATGTTGATATGGACATGACAGAAGGAACTTACACTCATGGCTTACAAGGGCTGCCAAGTGTGCATGGCCTCGAGGGTGTGGTATTGCCCTGAAGAAAGCAACAAATGTTTTATGAGTCCACATAGAACTATTTAGAAAAATTACCTTTTCTCCTCTATTTCAATAAATACTTTATAAAATATGTACAACATAATATATATATGCTTAAATATATGTAACATACACATGTATATGTTTTAAAATCTGGTATCTATTGTGTATATCTATATAACACCCACATATGACATTTTTATTACTGTCAAGTACAGACAGACTGACCAGTAAGAACAGGAATCTCTGACTCACAAAAACGTTCTTACACAGAACAGTGACTAGTGTCACTGTGCTTCTGGAAGGGTCACCAAGTCCTACTATGTGAAAAGCTGCAAAACTGTTCAAGTGACTAACAAAAGTTTGACCATACTTGTTCTATGAGTAAGCAAGTTAGCTGCACTCTGTATTTGCTCTCTGACAAAGCAATTTTCAAGAGTTTCCATCCTGTAAAACACTGAAATTCATAATGACTACATTACATGCAACAATGCAATGCACTGCACGATTTTGGTAATTTACGAAGAAAATTAACAATGCAAGAATAGGTATTACATGGAAAAAAACACCAAGCATGAGTACAGGAAGGTCAATAAAACTCAGTCATCAACTGAAGCATAAAAGTACACACATATATCCATACATGCACTATATAGAATGTAGAACTCAAGGGATTTTTTATTTTCAGGAATTGGACAGAACATACTTGCCCACAGTTATGTGAAAATTCCCTGCCACTTTATTGACATAGAGATGACCGTGAATTCTGCATGCATCTGGAGACTGTAATGAATTATCTTCCCTGTTTAAATAAAAACAACATTGAAAGTTAAGAATATTCACTGTCTAGCACAAATAACAGCAGTAGAGTTAGATCTCTTTTTCCTAGCATAAAGATAGAGCATTACAGATAGCAGAGATGGTGGAAGGGAGGGAAACTAGTAAAGGTCAGTTTGATTAAACCAATGAGCTTTCATTCATACTTCTGTTCAAAGATCTGGCCTATAAGCCTGGTTTACGATACCTGAACATGCCAACAGAGAACATTAAACCATAAGTTTATCTGCCCCAGGGATTTTTATTTTCCCACTTCCTTCTACCAGAAATGGCTCAGTGGGAAAATTTTAATGCTACAATGAACAGAATCAAATACATTTTGGTCACACTAACAACACTGTAGCAAGAAGAGCTTTCAACTTATTTTTTCTTGTGGACATCACAACATGGGTGAGAAGTGGAAGCTTTTGTAAAAAACAATTTCTAAAATCTGCTCCTTAGAGGAAGATGAAAACCAAATTTTTTTCAACACATCTCAAGCATAAATACCATTTCAAATACTGCACTAACAAGCAACACAGAGGCACAGAAGGACTTAATTAATCTGAAGACATAAAGAAAATGAGAAAAAAAGATTTTTTGAGCCATCTTTAGGCTTGCCTTAGGAAGGAAGAATATATTTGATCCTCAGACAGGGAGATTACAACAGAGGAAACATGTATGGCAGCTTCGGTGTTTGTTTTGTTTTATTTAGTATTTTTTTTGCTTAGTGCTGTTTCTAAATGGAGAGAATTTTAGCTTTCATGTAGAAAATGTTTTTTCCTTGAAGGTAAAAAAATAAAATCACATAGCATCTAGATTCAGCAGACCAAACATTCTATGTATTAATCTCTTAACATTTCTGAGTAGCTGGAATTAAGTGAAAACAGCAAGATTTCTCCACACAATCTTAAGAGTGTTTTCTTAGACAAAGCATTTTACTAACAAAACACATTTGTATTCAAAGGTTGATTCTTTTAAAATTATGAAGCATTATGACACAGGTAATAGCAGCACTGCTGGACAGAAAGGTAGTTTTAAAAAAAGACTCTTGTTTAGTATTGCTCTGGCATTACTAATTCCCATTAAGAAGGAGACATCAGACCAAATGGAATAAAAAGCTGTGTGCATATATTTACTCATGTCTGTGTATGTACGTGTAAGCACACACACAAAACCTGGAAACCTCCTCCAGTTTGGAAAACCCAGAGGTTTTCATAAATCAGCCCTCCAAAGCAAGTATCAAGCACACAGTATTTTAAAATTAATTAAAAAGCAGTGAGATCTTTTCTTACAACCTTGCTCTCTGGAGGTGGGGTGGAATCATAGCCACAATAAAACGTTAAGTCTAATTAACAGAGTTGGAGGAAAGGGGAATAATGACACAAAATCCCAGTTTTTCTTACCGTGGTGGCAGTGCTGTAGAAGCACTTTTAAATGCACTTTTGAATATCACATCTTGAAGAGAGTGTTCTTCCTGCAGCCTACTCTGAATTAGTTGCAGCATCCTAAAGATTAAAGACAAATGTGAACACATGCAACAGTAAAACAAAATCTAGCTTCACAATTCATTATTTGCTTCAGTTGCAGGTTGCAAATCAAGAACTTAGCAAAGTTGATGACAAAGTAATAAAGCATTACATTAAACTTCGGCAATAATGTTTTATACAGAATTTAAAGCTCAGGTGTTCACAGCAGTGTGTTACCTAAATACCAAAACTAGCCAAACCCCCAAATAAGCTTCAGTAGTATTACAAGACTATCAGTACAGTGGGCCCACACAACACCAAGATATTGAAGTGATAAACACTGTGTTTAATTAAGTTATAGGAAATAATTGATTTGTTTTTGCAAGAATGTGCCAGTTTGTTACAATGGCTCAGCTTTGACATTTAGATATCCATTTTACACATTTGATTCAATGATTTTAACTTGTGCTACTAAGCATTCACTTGGAAACAGAAGCTGAGTGAGTCCATACATCTTGGCTTGCAACTGCATGACCCCATTGAGCAGGTAAGTCCAAAGTCATTGTCTTTTTCCATAACAGAGATCTTAAATAATGAGGAAAGCAAATTAACTTAGTATTTTTCTGCAGGTTTGCATTCTTAAATTACAAGCAGGAGCTGTTAGACCCAAGACGTAGTTGTGTTACATAGCTCTGGTGTACTTCAAAGTCACTTCTAGTACAAGTAATACAAACCATAAACAGTGCTTTACCTTTGCAATTCTTTTTGTTGTGGGGTGAGCTCAAATGGAACCTGAAACAAGAATAACACATCTAATAAAACACACAGAAAGCATCCCTTCCATGAAACCCAGAAGAGAATTGGGATGTGGGTATAGAGCTATAATCAACTTCACATTTGATACCACGGAGTAGTTTATGAAAGGACTTTGCAGTTTAAGTAACACATTTTGTGCTCAAGTATAAAAATTTCTGTCCCTTCCGACACAGAATTGCAAAGGAGCAATCTTTGAAAGACAAGGGTCCAGGTGCAGATTGCATATTTCTAGGCTCATCCCACATGAAGCACAAAAGACAACCTACCAGACTTGCTATACTTCATCATCATTAAAGGATCACTAGTAAGATCTGTTCACCAAGTTCAAACCTAAATATTGGTTAACACAAATGTACTCAGTAAATTCAATTACAGTTAATGCTCAAATGTACTGAGAAGCTATGGCCAAAAGAGATAACTACAGAATATTCCTCTAACAGGCTAGTGGAGAAAAAAAAAATATCACAAGCAAGCAAACCAGCCCAGTAGTACTTGGCACCAAGAGGAATTAAATTTTTAAATAAAAAGGTCAGAATCAACTTACTGGTTCATAGATTAACCCATCTGCAGAGGCAACCATTGTTTCTGCTAAATCCAGAACATCAGCCCCCACATCTATTTTAAACAGGGAGAAATAGTAAGTCACATAGATGATTATGGACAAGCAAAAAAAATTCAAGTTGAAATGAAGTTTCACAGTACAGTGATAAACTTCAATATATGTTATTGTTCCTTCAACCTGTTTAACCTTCAATATCAGCTGATGGACATTGACAAAAAACTCTTCAGATATGCAGTATCTTCTCACTGATTTAACTCCTACAGAGAAGTTGTATGAACCACACAGACAAGCTTTCTAGGATCTGTTATGCATAAATATTTTCTCCTGTTTTTACAAGCACTGAACAGTGATTAAGACTAGTCAAATCAGAGAATAAAAGTTTGTTTATTTGCAGAAAACAACAAAAGAATCACTGATGTACCATACAATTAATGCAAGGTTTTAGCTCGGCAACAAAAGCGCATCCTCAAAATATGCTTGCATTCCTGGCAGTAGTATTCTCTTTTCTCTCAGTCCAGGACAAGCAAGACTGAATACAATAAAAGTTCATTACCTAAATGATATCAAAATAATATTAAGTACTGCCTTTAATAAGGAAGGCATCTCTCTCACGTCCACAAGGAGGATGAAATTACACAGTGGTTTCAGTGCTGTAAACAGCAGATCAGTTTAATATATCCCAAGTTCATAAATAAATAGAAATTGTAATAAATTCCTGCTGCTGAGTTGTGTCTCGCGATGAGCTTTTAGAATATTTCAGCTAATGAGACATGAAAAACAGATCCTATTCCTGTGACAGACAAAGCAAGGTTCTGCAAGATGAGAATGAAACAGCACAGATATTCTTCTTTACATTTCTTACTAATTCCTTCAATTAGTCATTAATCACTATGTGCCATTAAGATCAGAAGAAATAACACTGGTAAAATGTTCTGAACAATATCTAACTATATTGTGAGCAAGTGTGGTCTCTGAAGAGACTTTAAAGTGTTTAAAAACTTTCACTGATGGAACACTTACATTGACATCTCATGGCAACCGTAATATCAATATTGATCCTTAATTTACTGGAAAGAAAAGAAAAGGCAAAAATCCATTAAGTAACATTGAGTGTAAGTATCAAAAAAAACCTCAGACTACTTGCAGAAATACAGTCAAGTACCAAATATTATATGAATAAATATAAAGTTGTTTAAAACTTGGGTGAAGCAACATGGATTTTTAGAGCACATTAAAGCACTTGTAACTTAAGAGATAACCTCCATCACACCAAAAGTCTGATTGTGTGGCATTCCCCAATATTCTGGGCATTTCCTACTGATTTTCATGTTAGTTTCACAAAAGTAATTTGAACTGTAAAGAATAAATCCCCTCACTAGTCACAGGGCTCTGTACCCAGGGAGCTTCTTCTGAGACTCAGCTGACCTGAAGCAAATCATATAAGCAAGGGATTCAACACTGTCTCAACTTGGGGTCAGACAGGGTCAATAAAGAGGAGAAAAGCAGTTAAAATTATACCAGTCTCCATTGGTTCAAACTATCAAGAACCACAGGCTGTGATTAGCCCACAGTCAAACTGGGGAATCTGTAGTAGGACATATCCCAAATCCTATAACAGTCTCTTAAGTGATAGACTACTCTTCCTGTGTGATGGCTTCTCTTGGGATATAACCTACTTTAGAAAGACCTAAATGTGAAATCTCAGCTGTCTGAATGGATTTACTATGAGTTTTTGATGCATCTCCTTCAAATTTTTCCTTTTTTGTTTTTCATTATAGAAACCTTCTTTATTTCTGATGTACAAGACATCCAATTAATATATGCATCTTTAGCTTGTTACCATAGCAACTGCCAAACGGCTCTTAAAGTTATTTCTGTTAAGTTCGTGGGTGCCAGCACCAAACCACGACACAGACACATAACATTTAAAGGTGTTCAGGGCACAAAATCTGTATTAACTTCACAGGGACTCAGGGGAGCCTGACCAGCTCTGGAGGAAAGGCAAACACAGTCCTGACAGGCACATGAGACCAACAGCAAACACATCTTCAGGGGGGCTCTATCTGGAGTCAAAATTAGCAGCAACCTCTAAATAATTCAGTCAAACTTCTAAGTGTTTCAGGTTCACCTCCAGCAGCACAAAGTATAATGGCAGCATACTAAAAGTATGAACTAGAGAAAGCCCTGAGCCAATGTGAGGGGATTTACCTACCTGATACGGAGTTACATCTTACAGTGTTCTCTGAATTGTTATGGCAAGTAATTATTAAGGGAGCTCCTTCAATAACAAACCTATACTATTGTGACTTCATTGCAGAAATCTCAATTTATCTTCTTCATAGATTACACAGAAGAAAAAGCTCCAAAACAACCAAGAGATGAAAAATCAAATCCCTCTAGTATTTAATTTGTAGTTTAAATTATAAATTGCTTTCAAGTCACATGAACATTTTAAATCTATTCTTTCCTGAAATGCAGGCAGCTAACATTTTAAAAAGAATGATAACAAATAATGTTACCTAGTAAAGTCCTTGTCTACTTCATATTCATATTTCATCCATGTGTCCCGGTACACCATGAACTCCATTATAGTCAGGAAAGCTATTGTTGTAAATGCTATCAGAGAAACTGGTCAGAGGAAAAAAAGTAAAAATTCAGACTGTGAGAAATGCTATTCAGAACCACAAGCAGAACAAAATTCTAATAATTCATAAAGTTGAACATTACCAGTACAACACTGGTACCTTTGATTTATAAACCCAAAATCTGCTCTTAAAAAGTTGCTTTCATGCTGATAGTATTTCTTCTCACATAGGAGCAGAAAAAAGCAAGTCCTACCTTTGCATCAAGAAAGTACTTTCTAAGTACAGTCAAATATTGGAATGATTAGGAAGCTGTGAAATCCCTGTATGGAAAATTTAAGAACAGGCTAGATCTTCCTCCGTACACAAAATGCACACAAATCGCTGTCAGGGATGGTCTAGGAAAACTCAATCCTAACTTCCAACATGAAAGAAGAAGATAGTGCACCTCGAAACCCCTTCAAGCCTCTACTTGTCTACAAGTTAAGTTTTTATAACAATTTTTTATATCAAGTTTTAGACTCAAGAAGCTAGCAGACAAGAGAAATAAGATGCATTATATTACTTGTGCATAGCTGCATAATTATGACTCCCACCTCAATATTTCAAACAAGACTCCCTCTAGCAACAAGCAACAGGCAGCTATCCATTCCACCAATAAGTGAAGAACTTGAAATTATTTTTAGGATGAAAACTATTTGGTGTATTTTAATGGTACATGTGCTTCACTGATCTCTAAGGCAGCCTACTCATCACACTTGCAAAGTTCTATAATGCAAGGGGAAGATCACCCTGCTGCACAGTCAGAAACACAGTAACAGATGCACAGAAGCACCTGCTACAGTCCTTTTATTAAATCATGGCTTTTATAAGCTTGAAAACACTTCAGTTGTGGAGCATAGTAGCAATTTGTACAGCTTATTGGCACTGCAGGTATTTTCATTTACATTCTGTGGAATATCTCTATGGAATCCACACAGTGCAACTTGAGAAAAAACAAGCTCATTGTTGATAGGCTTCAACTCACTACACAGTGGTCCACAAGCCAGAGGTGAGAGCAGAGAATAAAGGCACTGTTCTTGGGGATCAGAAAAGAAGCTATTGACTGTTGCATCAATCAGCAATGTTTCCAGTTCTAGCTTTCAGCTGACATTATGTAAAATTCACACACATGAAACCCTTCATGTCAACTGCACTAATCAGTCAATTATTATTATTCTGGCTTTCAATTTACTTTGGAAGCAGTAGGCCAGACTCGCCCTGGCTATGCAACAATAGGAAAGCTGGAGCCATATTGGCAATCCAGAGCCACACAAACACAATTAGAGCTACAGCCGCTTTCTGGGTCATTCTGAGCAAATATATGTGTGGATCTGAACAGGAAAATAAAGTCTTGTATAATTTTCTTTCCTGAAGGATCTCCCAGCCCCAGAACTGGAGTGTCAGCCTGTTTGAGAGACCAGTACTTCTTCCGCAATGGGTTTCAAGGCCAAGAAAGTCTGAGAATAGTCTTGGTATGGTTTAGATCCCTATCACATCAGAAAGTAAACCTGACACTTTAATCCTGAATGAAACATGAATTCTACATTCAGATTTCACAATCACACAGAAAAAGACTATCCTATATTGTCATTTATAAGGTTACTGAGATAAAACCAAAGAATGCTAAAGTAACTTGTGGTGTTTAGAAATCATTAATGCACCATTCACCAAAGCAAAGGTCTCATGAAGGATGGTGCTATACTACAAAAAAGGATTATTTTAGCATTTGGTGTTTTTTATGAAAATTACAACATAGAAACAAACCACTTGTTTCCTCAGGAACTAGGACTAACATTAACAAAGCATTATTTACACACTGCTTAGAGATTATTTTATATACAATAATCCTTTAATTATTAACAGTGCACTTGAGGAAAAAGCAAAGTAATATAGAACCTTCTGATATTTATTTCTACACTATAAGTGGCGTAACAACTTCAAAGGCTTATCTGTAGGTTGCAATTGCTTCCTGCACTTTTTATTCAATTGAGTTTCAGGCATAATCACACACAAGGGAGATTTTTGTCCTCCACTTCTAAGTGCTAGCAGTTTCCTATCTGCAAATAATTCCAATAGTCCAAGAGATGGAGTCACTATTTTCAGATCAGGTTACCTCTAACTCAACTCAACTTAAGCTCAACTTAAAGACACAATTTTATGATCAGATACATAAAGAAGATCTTTTTTACAGCTCCAGCTTTTTCAGAGAAGCTCAAGTGACTAATAGGGACAGTACAAGCACATGTCCTGGATTAAAGTGTTTAGTTCTTCAAAGGGCTTTCCTTACTCTAAAAATCAAGCACACCTTCAAAAGAAAAGCCTTAGAAAACTGTGCTTTATCTTGATGCTCAACATAGCTGTCTCGAGAATATTTTTCCATTTTTGCAAAAGCATAGTGTTGAATCCCACCATCATTTCAGGTCATGCTCACTCAGTCTTATCCAGAACACCAACCTGACACCAAGAAAAGAGCTTGGTGAGACAACAAATGAGAAAGTTTTATGACAGCCTTGGCACAGTGCGCTTCCAGTTGCAACTGGTTAGAAGTTTTTATTTCTAACCTTTACATTGAGTTGAGTTTCACCAGCTTTATACAAAAATCTCCCTTCAGATGAGTGATGGATGCATATTTTTGGATAAGATACTATGTCTTTACTTGAAAGGAATTAACTCAGTCCACCAAAGAATTCAAGAAACCAATTTAAACTAGTTTCAAGTGAAAACAGATGCCTGTCTTCCTCATGCTGAAGTTTCTATCAGTATCAGCATCTCAACAAGGCCTACCTGTGCCTCCACTTGCTGAAGTCTCCACATAGCTTTCAGGAACCTTTGGAAAGGCATCCAATTCTTTCATCAAATTCAAGGTCTTCTTCCGATTCAGTCGCCTCATCTTCAGCACACTCCTCCACCTCCTTCTTCATATATTCCCTCTAATTTGAGAATACATTGTTGAGATTAAAAGACACAAGCAATATTGTTCAAACTGACTGGCTTTAACATGAAGCAATAATAAGGTCACTCAAACCCCAGAAATATGTTTTCAAGAAAGACATGCTAGAACAACTGGATGGTCACTCTTGCTTCAAGAAAATTGTTAAGATTGGCCTGGACACTGCTGCTTACAGCCCAGCCACATCCAGCACATTCGCCATTTAGTTATTATGATTAATTTCCTTCTCAATTAAGTTCTTATTGGTAGTGAATATATTGCATTTTAAATTTTTAAAAAAATCAAACTCAGTCCTGAAGTAAATTTTCTAAACAGACCTGACAGTGCATGGAAGTCACTGACTTAGGAGGAAATATCTAATAGGCTGCATAAACTTCAGAGGACATCAGACTGCTGTGGGCTCCTGCATTTGGCCAACGTGGGCACTAACTATATCCTAAAGGAAAAAAAGGTGCATTTCACATTTTTACAGGTGTAGAATATTATGATTATAAAACGATCATTTTTCTTCCCTCTATAAAAATATCTCCCAAAGCAAGTTATGGATCAGATCTTAACTCCATCCTTCAGAATCATTTGTGTACATGACATGATCTCTGCCTGGAGTCATGTTAAGCAGCAGGATGCCGAGAAAAGTAGCTTGCCCTGAAAATACTGTCTTAAACCATTTCCAAATCATGCAAATATATGCTCAGAGCCTGGTCCTGCCAATACACTGCAAGTTTTAACAAGTTGACATAGTTGTTTTTCTTCTGGGGAACTGCTGAACTTCACCATGAATTTCTGAAGCTATAAAAACCATCATGCATTTACTGTATCCTGAGAATGTCATCCTATTGTTCCCTGTTTAAACACTATAAGGTGGGCAAGCTAACCTACACTGCCAACATGAGACAGTTATCATCATCTTATAGAAAAATCTGGGAACTCATCTACCCTGTTTCAAGAGAATATCAAGTCTCTGGCATGTCCTAGTGAAACTACTCAAGATCTATTCCCTGCTCTGCCTCTTCCTGGTGCTGAGCAGGTTTTGTACCATACAATAACAAAGCAATAGGCTCTACTGCAAATTAAAGCTCACACAAGAAAAACCATCTATGCCTGCAACTTTTTCATTACACTAATTGACTTCAGACACAGACTTTGCACTTGGTCAGGCTGCAGATATCAACAAAATGGTACTGTGTGTGTTACAGAGGATTTAAAGAAACCCCAGTTGGAGTGGGCAGAGAAGATAAGTGCTGGAACAGACTTTGGTTTTACAGCATTAAAAAAAAAAGTTAGGAAACAAGGTTCTGTCCTTACTACACCACATAACTGTTTTAAAGAATTAATTCAGAGTAGCTCAAGGAAAAGCTGGAAAACTTCAGTGCACAGATATGGCAAAGCAGCTGCTTGGACACAGCTGAAGTCATAACATTCGTTAGCACAGAGGAAAGACCAGCAGGGCTTGCCTGTTATCCTACAAATATAGCAATGAAGCCAACAGAGCACTCTTTCATTTTCCGCGTATCTTCCCTGCTATCGCATGTGTAAGAGCACACCGTAAAGAGGCACAAGATAAACACAGGGAATTTGAGAGCGCTTTACTAAAAAACTTTCTAAATCACCCTGCATCAGTAAATATGTGGATTTTTGTAATCCAGCTAGAAATATGCAATCTGTTCGTTGGTTTCTTTAATCCCACACAGACAGACTCACTTTCAGCTACAAACCCAGATGCAGACCTGATCCCTTCCCCCTGCCCATCTCCACATAGGTGCTCCAAAAAAATTTGGAGTCCATTGCTATGAAAGTAAGGTATTATGAATCCAAGAGCCAGCTGCGTTAAGAAACATTATTATTAATGATAAATAAGGGACAAAGCACAGCACAAATGCCACTCAAGAGCAGAGGCCCGCACGGCAATTCCGACTCAGCTGAGGGACTCGGGCAGTTTTCGCTTTCTCAGACAACTTGGTAGCGAGGCCGCCACAGGCGCGTCCCAACGCCCGCTCCCACGGGCGCGGAGCGGCCCCACGCCTGAATCCCCTGCCGGGGGGCTCGGGCTCGGGCCCAGCTTCCCACACCGAGGGGCCTGGAGCCCACACACCTGTGAGGGCCCCGGGCGCTCCCCGCCGCCACGCACAGGGCAGCCACGGGAGGGTGCGGGACGGGACAGGCCGCGCCTCCGCCCTCCCGTCGCTATCCCCTACCTCTCGCTTCTGCCGCCGCTGCCCAGCACCGCGGGCGAGGCCAGACGGGGGAGACGAGACGCAACGCGCTGCCCGGCGCCCGCCCCGCTAAGCATGGCACCGCGGGCCGGGGCGGGCTCGCTCCGCCGCCGACGCCCGGCGGGAGCCGCGGGCCGACGGGAGCGGCGGAGCGCCCCGCCTGCCGCTGCGCGCATGCTCGCAGCCTCGGACATGCGCCGGCCGCCGCGGCCGCGGCCGGGCTGGGACGAGCGGGAGCGCATGGACATAGCGGGGGCCCATGGACACAGCGGGGGCCCGTGGACACAGCGGGAGCGCATGGACACAGCGGGGGCCGTGCTCCCGGACCCTGCCGTGGAGCGGAGCCGGGAGCAGCCGCGGGCTGGGCTCCGGAGCCGCAGGGAGTGCGGCCCCACGCCGCTCGCAGGGCTCTCTGCACGGCCTCGCAGCCGGTCCCGCAGGCGCGTGGGCTCCCGGGCATGACAGTGTCACCCCCGCCGTGACAAAAGGGACGTGCTGCCCCGGAGAACCTGTGACCCTGCGAGGTACTTAGTGATCTTTTAAAGGGATGGATGTCAAGTACCTTCCAAAGCAAACTGATTAAGGGCTGTCACGCGGCTTGCAGTGTTAATACTGGTTTGGATACTGTGGATACAGAAGCAGGCAGCATTTGAAAAGAGGCAGCATCTTACATTAACTGTGAAGGAAAAGGCCTGTAAAAGTGGGGAAGGAAAGATTTTAAGCTCACAAGCCAGTCTTCAGACTTGAAGTGAAAAAAGTGTAAGAGGGCTCACGTATACCCAAAATCTCAGTCCTTTTCCCTGCGCCACTGGAATTAACTAATAGGCACTGCCTCTCCACAAGCATTATGCCTTAGTAACTGCACCATTAGTTTATCTCCAGATTTTTGCTTACAACTCTTATCATGCTACTGCCACGCTGCCCACAAGTAGCTGACCCAACCTAGACACCTTACAGCCAAAAAGGGAGCTCTCCCAATATCTTCCAGGGAGTACTAACATCTTAGATGATATCAAAATTATTTTTTAAAATTTGCTTAATATGAGGTTTTAAAAAAGGAGAAATAATACTTTAGACATTATAAATTATAAATATATATTATAATTATATATATAATATATAATTATAAATTAGACATTTATCTTCATAGATCTGAAAAAAAAGAGACTGAAGACTCCAGTATTTTTGATAATGAGGCAAGCGAATAAAACCCACATCCTAGAAACAGATAGTGGTGAATTACACAGCATTAATTCAGATTTTCCCTTTTTAATGGTTTAGAGTAAAAAGTAGATCCATGATAAAAGAGTTTCAATAGCATGCCAGAGTATACACAATTTGAATTAAACGACTCTTTGGGTATCTACAGCATTTGACAATAAAGAGAACCTGAAATAAAAAAGGAGTATGAACAGATTCAGAGTATTTTTTGCTTTTTAGAGATAAGCAGGAAGGAAGGAAACAAACATGTAGCAAACATGCCAGTGTTCTCACTGAATTGTGATCAGTCTGTTTCCATCATTTTAGCAACTATAGCAACAACTGGATCAGACAGTCAAAAAGAAAAAAGGGGAGGGGGGGAAGTATGACGTTACAAGAGATAAATAACCAGGCTAAAAATATGCTAATTGTACATTTGTTCCCTCATCTCGGAAAGAGCAGGCAGCTTTAGCTCTGGCACATAAAGCTCTTACTTTGACATGCCTAGGTCGTAGGGTATAATTCAGCAGCCAGGGATTTTTCTGGCTAAGCCCTATTGTCCCTTGAAATGGTCTTGGCACTGAGGCATGGAAGGAGAAACTGATAGATCTGGTTATTAGCTGTGCAGCACAGATGCTCAACCGATGTTTTCACAGGCAAACAATCTCATCTGCTCACAAACATGGGCTTGGCCTTAGTGAGATCACACTGAGATGCCTCTTACAGAGAAGTGGCATGGGACAAAACTGCTTGCAGCTTTGCACTACTGTAGTCTTATTTATAACTAAGATGTCTCCATGAGATTTTATGATGGGAAACATGGGAAAAAAATCAGAACTTAGGAAAATCAAAGAAAAAATATATAGTGATAACACTGTCCATTACACGAACACTGTGTACTTGACTGCACTGTGCTAAAGAAACACAACTGTGATTGTACTGCACCCATCAAGTACCAGACTACTCCAAGCCGTGCTCCTTTCCTTACGCCCGAGTTTTTTCTGCTCTCCTGATCACATCTAAGTCGTGGCAGCCTGTAAGTATCTGTCAAATGACCTCAGGGAGCCCGACAAGGCGGAAGAAATCCAGCTGCCAAGAGCAAACCATGCAGGTAAGCCAACAGGCTGTCCCTCAGCTGCTGCTTTACACGTTTGCTTCAGTATTTAACAAGATCCCAAAGCACTTCCAGACTTAAATGCAGCCACCTATGCAAAAATACAACTGTCTTCCCAAAAACCTCCCACATTTCTTAACACTGGCGATTTATGAAATCCCTTGATATGTGCAAAGAGAGGAAACCATGTCTCATATCCGTAGGGTTTAGCAAATTACATAAAACAGAAGATAAATTCCCAGGAGTATGGACTACGAAGAACATTGGTATCAAAGACAGTAACAAAGAGGACGGTAGTAGACCAAACAAGAGAAACAAATGTAAACATGCACAGATACCGCCCACCTGCACTTCAACACACTTCAGCATGAGTTAAAACGCTGGAAACCGTGTGCAGGATATACAAACTAAAATATAAACCTGGATAAAGGATGTCGAGACTAAGCACAAGCCCCCATCAGTCACCTGTACAGGTGGTTCACGATAGCTGAAAAAGCATTTTGTTAGCGCGAAGGGAAGAGGAAAAGGCTAGACAGCACGAGTGGGATCGGCCAGGAGCGCCTGCAGGGATTCAGAGAATAGAGAGCAGCCGCTTTACCGGAACGTGGAGGCATCGAGGTGGCATTTAGGCAGAAGAAGGAGGAGCAGAGGAAACAGGTGCAAAAGAGCGAATATGGAGATGAACGGTGGGAGTGGCTGGAACGGGGGTGGAGGAGGAGAAAGTCCTGGAGGTTGAGAGGTGAGGGCTGGGAAGATTGGAAATGATATGGCGTGAGGGAGGGGCAGCGGCGGCCGCAGTGTGTGTGAGGGGCGGCCATGAGGGGCGCGGACCCCGGCGCCTTGGGCTGGATGGGGCGGGAGCGGCCTCGGCCAATGAGGAGGATCCACGCTCCAGGAACCGGGAGCTGGGAGCTCCGGGAGGGCCCGGGGCCGGGGCCCGCTCGCTGCCCGCGGCCGGAGGCGCCGGTGCCGGCTCCGAGGCGGGAGCAGTGCGGTGCCGCCTGTGCTCACTGCCGCGGGGTGTGCTCACGGGCTGCCATTTGCTCGGTCTGTCTGGAGCTGGTGTCAATAAATAAAAACTGTTGGTGAAAGACTTGGTCTCTCTAATCTTTAACATAAGTTTTCCAACTTAACCCGAACTTCTGGTCTTCTGAGAGATCCTTTTTAAAGTTATCCTAGGGAAGATTTCTTGTCATTGGGTCTCAAAAGAAGACCAGTCCTGCTCACTGAAAGGAGGACGATGTTAAAACTACTGAGGCCGTCTGAAGCAATCCTATTTACCATTAATTCATCGTGTAAACAGAATGGCTTTGTTCTACATAGTCACCACTGTTTTCATACATAATTGCTTACCTCTACAATTTTTTAAATGATAAATTAATCCTAATTCTTATATTGAATATTTCTGTGGATTAGCTAACGTTTAAGTTGCAATTTATACAGCTGTTTCATGAAGCTCGGTGGGAGCTCACAAGGCAGCTGAGGTAAGAACTGTGTTGTACTGCAACGAAGTACTGTGAATGCTGAGGTTGAAAAATGTTAGTGTCATCTTCCTGGGGTTTTTGTCCTTTTCCTAAGAGTTTAAATTGTTTGGTGCAGACAAATGTCAGGAAAATTAATCCACAAACACCAGAGATTTATGTCCAAAAAGGAGACAGAGGAGTCCTTTTACTTTATTCGAATAAAGGGAGAGGCCATGGGGCATTCCCCTGGGGTCTCTCAAATTTTTGGAGGACGCAGCCCCCTTTTTATCCTATTTTCCCGGCCGCATTTCCCTCTCTCTTTCCCCATTGGCCGAGGTACTTGAGAGGTACAGACTTCCCGGAACACCTGATACCCAAGATTCCCTTCTAATGTATAACCCTCCTTTTAAATTTTTAATTCTTATAGAATTCATGGTTCTTCCTCATTGCTTCTTTCATCTTTAAATATTCAATCTAATTTATCAGCAAACCTACAGTTTGTTTGTAAAGGCAAGTATCTTTTTCCATTCATCAATCAATGGACTCCTTCCCATTGTTTCTTTTATCTCTCAGTGCTAGTCTTATCTACCAGCTGACCCACAGCATGTTTGTAAAGACAAATCTGTCATTTCTCTCACAGATAACCGACTCAAAGTTGTGTCTTTCATTCAGCAGAGATTTGCTGTATGTTGTTGATGGATTGTATGGTATCTGTGAGGAGGAAAAATTCGCTGAACTGAATTCCTGTCCAGATTACAAACGTCAGGTTGGTAATAAAGCCTGCTCTATCACTGCTTGGCTATTTTTAGTAATTAGATCATGATTACAAAACAAAAATATTTTGATAATTGATCAAGTTGCATGAAAACACTAATGCTCCCACATAATGTTCTTGAATTGTCTAAACATAGCACAAGGCCATAGGAGCAGATAATGACACACTAAGCGTATGTTGTGACTTTCAGTGTTTCTTTTATTTTAATGGTCAATTTTCTGCTCTTTGGAACACAGTTTTCTTGAAAAAAACACACAACCATTAATAAACAGGTTTCTGAAAGTTTCTTTGAAGCTCTATTCACAAATACACTATATTTTACTCCTTTGCTACAAGTTTGCTCAGTCCCAGCATAAAACTTAGTCTTGAAAAACACAATCTTAAAAACATGCATGGTAGGAGGTATTTGGCCTTCTGCAGGGTTACCTGGTTGAGAATAGTTTTAGCTGGCATAGTGGAGGGATGAGGAACCATTTGCTTTAATAGAGGAAAATACATTGCTATTTGTTAACTGCATTAAAGACACTCAACTCTTTCTCAGGGTTTGGGAGAGGTGTGGATAAGCCGTATAAGAGGGGATGGTGATACTAGGATATTCATAAATAGTATTACATAATCTCACTAGTATTTTACCAAAAAAAGTCAAGTTGTTGTGACACTTGTGTTAGAATTACACTAGTAGTATGCATCTAAGGTGACGCTTAGTCCGCAGACATCAGCATATTTCCCTGAAGTTATTGTAAACTCTGTGTATATACGCATTTGATTGTTTGGGCTCTGTAAGTCGTTCAGGGATGTGATGCGGCCACAGGACGGTGCTGCGGAGTTTTTCCCTTCCCCAGCTGGCAGCGGCGGCGCGGCTCACACCCCCCCTCCCTTTTCGGGGCGGTGTCTGCCGGTGACTTGGGACCGGCTGATCTGTATTTACTTGCTGTTCATCTAAGAGACCTGGTGTAGATATGGAGCGGCGCGGTGAGCCGACCCGCACTGGCCGCTGCAGCTCTGTTCCTTTTTTTTTTTTTTTTTTTTTTTTTTTTTTTTTTTTTTTTGGTGGGGACGCCACCTTTTATTCAAAAAACAAGGAGGACAGGCTGGGGACAATGCCGGGGACAAGGAGGACAAGGACAGGGGGCAAGGACAGGACAGTGCCACCGCGCTGTCCCCAACACACGGACCGCGGCCCAGGGTGACAGAGAGCGGTGCAGGATGGGTGACAGTGAAGTGATACCGAGGGGACAGCGGTGACACCTAAAACTTGAACTCCTTGTATTTCTTGCCCCCCTCACGGGCGTCGTGGGGCTGCGTCTTCCTCTTCTTCTGCTTGGCGGCGTGCTCGGCCACCATGTCACTGAAGTCCTCCTTCTCCACCTGCGCCTGCTGCTCCCGCACGTGCTCCTCGTATTTCTGCGACATGGCCCTGGGGTCCAGCTCCAGCTCCTCGGGGACCAGCGCCAACTCCAAGCCCCGCGCCTCCGTTCCTGGCCCCTTGCGCCCCTTTACCGCGGACACGTTGTAGATGTGAGTGGAGCCCATCGTGGCCGTGCCCACGGTTGCCGTGCGTTTTTCGGGGACCACCGTGAACAGCTGGGGTATCTCTCTCCCGCCCATGGCCTCCTCGATTTTCTTCTTGCGGAGCTCGATCAGCTCCAGTGTCTCCAGCCCGGTCGGCATCGAGGAGAAGCCCACGGGGATCATCAACCCTCTGTCGGCCGGGGTGAAGAACCCGGTCTCATCGTGTTTCTCTTCGTCGCTGTCCTCCTCCTCCGAGGATTCCTCGTCAGATGGCTCCAGCTCCCCCCAGGGCATGCAATCGATGATCTCCTCCTCCTCCTTGGTCTGCAACTCGGCGGCGTTGGTGCCGAACACGTCCCCATAAAGCGGCTTCCCCGTCTCATCCACGGGGGGCTTCCCCCACGCCCCGGCGTGGTATCCGAACGAGCAGCCCTCGGGGATGGGGGAGTTGAGCCCCGGGATTCTGAGGCTGGGGTACGATGGGGGGAGTCCGTAGCTCTTCATGGCGATAAGCCACGGCGGGGGCACCTTGTGGGCGTTCTGCCCCACGGGCATGACCAGCGCGATCCGCAGCTCGTCCGAGAGCTCGCCCGGCTTCTTCTCCTTGAGCTGCGTCTCGAACTCCTTTCCCTCGTAGTAGAGGTCCCCGTGGATGGTCAGCTTGGGCTTGGTCTGCCACTTGAAGAAGGCGTCGTGGAGTTTCTGGTAATCGATGTCCATCTTGCCTATCTTAGGCCGCACCTTCTCTCGCATCTTGGAATTCATCGTCCTCTGCTCTTCTTTCTGCAGGGCTTCGCCCATCTCCTGGATGCCCGTGCGCTTGATGAACTCGGGCAGCTTGAAGGGTGTCTTCTCGATGCCCCTCTTGCCCTGCAGGTATTTCCTCTTGAAGACCAGTGCCGCGGCACCGGCACCGAGTTCCGCGTGGCCTTCAGGTGCACCAGCAGCTGAGGATCCTGTGTGCGGTGACATCGTGCATCTCCACCACATCATGGCGGGCCACCAGCTGCTTCAGCTCGGCCACTGTGAGCCTGTTCATGCGCCGCAACTTCTTCTTTGACAGCTTGGGGACCTCCTGCTTCTTCTCCTGCTTGTCATCGGAGCTGTCCCCGTCGCTGCTCCTGGTGCCATCCTCGGGTTCCTTTTTCCGTAGGGCCCCGGCGCTCTCTGTCCTCTCCAGCTCCTCCTTGTCCTTATTCACGTCGCCTGTCAGCTTGAAAGCCTCGAAAATCCTCTTGAAGAACACGAAGTTGGGGTCGTAGATCTCGGGCTCCTCGATCACCTACTCGACCTCCACCTCGGTGTCGTCCCCGGGGAGGCGCTCGGGGTCCCTTCGGCGGGGTTTCGGGGGCCCCTCCCGGGCCCCTCCCGTTCCTCGCTTCTTCTTCTTGCGGTTGCGGCGCTTCTGGTTCCGCTCCTTTTCGGATGTCTCTGTGTCCTCCTCAGCCTCGGAGGCTGACACCGACGCCCAGAGCTGCGTCTCCATCTCGTCCTCGGCCGCGACCCCCGGGACAATCACCAGTTCCTCCTGGCATCTCTCCTTGAGCTGCAGGATCTTCTTCAGCTCCTGCGGGATCTTGGGGCGCACCCCAGAGTCCTCGGCCTCTCTGCTGTCGTCGCCGGGGGGCGGGAGGGCCCCGCGGGGCTGGGGGGCTCCCATGGGGCTGCCTCTGAAGGCCAGGGGGTTCCTGGCACCCATGAAAGCCCCTTCGGGAGGGGCGTGGGGGTCAGCTTGGCCACCACTGCCGTCCTGGCTGGCCATCTCGCTTGCCCTCACACCCAGCCTGTGGCTCTCCTCCCAAGATTATTTGCAGCAATTAAGTTCTTAACGAAGTCTTATAACCTTGAATTTTATCTGCAGCAGTTCTTTAAAGTTCAATAATTAGTTCACAAAAAAAAAAATTACTGCTCACGCAGACAAAGTCAGGATACAACCTGACACCCCGTCAGTCAGTCAGGGTGTTGGTAGCAGTCCGAATAAATGGTGGCTGCTGTCCTCCTGGATGACAAATGTGATTCTGTTAAAGCAGTGCTCCTGTAGAAGGGTGTAGTTACCCGCTGCAGGTCCAGTGGTGGCATAGAAGGGTCTGGTCTTCCTCTGGGAATCTAGTGGAAAAAGGATGTCTGTGGTGTTCTAAATCTCAGATTATAGCCAGGTAGGAATGCTTGGCTCCTCCCCCTGGCTGGAACATCTCCCAGTGGGATGGTGTAATTTTATCAGTCATGCAGTGACACTCGGTGGCCCATTAACAGAGGATATCTGCTGGAGGAAGGATGGGTTGGGGAAGAGATAAAGAACACTGCCCCACCTGGTTTTGACAGATGGTGATAGAATACATACTTTGGTTACATCTTGCATTGCAATCTAAGACAGCTAAATAATATTTTCCTACATTGTAAGATATATAGTTGTTTTCTTATAAGAGATAAGACAACTCTGACTAAAAGAGCTGTGATGAAACACTGATAAACACTGTTGTGGATAAAGAAGATACAGTGTGTTCACCCTTGATTTTGTCAAAGATTCTATTTCTTGTCACAATCTCTGCTGTTTTATCTTCCGTAGATAACACAGAAGAGTCAGTGATGATTCTACATTATGGCTGTTATTTATTGTAAGCTGTTCTAGGGTTTTCCTTTGTTTCATTTCGTTTGTTTCACTCCTTTGTTTCATAGGTACATGACTGTTTAGAAAGGTGTTATCTCAACTTCTTAAGATGGTTACCCCTGATACATTGACTACATGATGTGAATTTACTGATTTTATAATAGACATTATTCATAAGATGTTATTACTGTATTTATAGGTGTTATACCAGATTTCTTATATGCTTTAACATCTCTTTGTGTAATTATCTAAAAGACGCATGTCGTTTTTTGTTGTCTAGCTGCTTATGCATCTCTTAGACCAGGTTAGCTGTCTGGCTAGTCCCTGCACTGGCTCTGTGGTTTGACCCAATGCTGTCTCATAAAGTTAAGTATTTTTCAGAGTTCGAATAAAAGATATCTGGGCTTTGTTGAAAGCCTCCTCTGAACTGCTAGTCTTGTGTTTTTTCCTAGTTATTATTATAGAAGCACTCCAGCAGTTTGCTGTGTTTGAAGCATCTCTATCCTGAAGGAAACTTTGGAGGGATCCAACTAATAGTTGTTTTGATTAGTCTTTAGCACCAAGGGCTTTACTCATAAGTGCTATTCCTAAGAGCCTCATTTTAAAATGTGTTTAGGGAATTCCTTCCCAGTTGGAGTTTGGACAGTGGCCAGGCCTTGCCTCTACCTGGATGGAGAATTTGCCAATAAACCCAGATGTTTTCTGCATCAAAACTAGATTCAAGTCACTTTGACTTGGCAATTTGACTATTTATATATGACAGCTGAACGTATTTTTAGAGTGATCTTGGGAATTATTATCCAGAAATAATTATCCAAGCCCTCACTAAATTGAGTTTTGTCAGCTATTCGCAGACTCTAGGATGATGGTACAGTATTTCAGAGATTCCTAATTACCTAATTTCACATGTATTATTAATTATGTGTATTATCTGAAATATTATTTATTATTGTATTCCTGATTGCTGTCAGTTTCTTGTTCACTACATGTATTGTTTTGACTTGATGTTTTTTCATGCTCATAACCAAAGACATGCATCTCATTTAAAAGAAACAAAAAAAGGGAGATTTAGTGCCTTAAGAACATCCAAATAATGTAGTATGTACCTTAGAAATTTAGATAGCAAATAATTTTGAATAATGGAATATTTACATTAGAAATTTGGAAAAAAGATTATAAAATCTAAATCCCAACTGAGTGTGCAACAGCAAAGCTTAATTGATTCACTGACTTGAAGAGAGGGCGTGCTTGTGTTTTATCACCAGCAGGCTTGAAGCAGTCACCTGTTCGTTTGATCAGACACCGTTCACCTCCGAGGCCAGTGGAAAGAGAAATAATCTAATCACCATGCAGCCTTCATGGCCAGAACAGGACCAGAGGTAGGACTGCCAAGACATAGCTGTGTCTGCAAACTACAGAGGCAATTTACCAATGAAAGCCTTATGTCATCATCGTGGTATAGAGTTCCTACTAAACTTCTTCAGTTATTCCCTGTTCCAGGTTCCAGGAATTCAGTGATGTCAAAGATCAACATTTCCAGCTAATGAACTTTCTCCCGAGTCTCAACTACTTTAAAACTATGGTCATTTATTTCCATTTCCTAAGATATATTGGACATTATTCTTTTTCTTTTCTTGTGCTGCGAAACCCTGTGTCAATGACATGATAGAATTTGATACGTTTTGTTGATTGTAATTGGTCTTTTATGTATCTTATCCTATATCTAATAGATAACCAGTGATAACCTTAATGAGATAATACCCTCACAAGAGTGAGCTGTTTTAACATCAGAACATATGGCCTTTTTGAAATTAACAAAAAGGGTGAGATATAGACAGGTAGAAGAATTATAAAAGAAAGGCCGTATGAAACCAGGCCTCACTCTGCTAAAATTGCCAAAGCTGGCCTGTCGTTTCTTCTAAGTGCAGCTAACAAGCAATTTGCAAGTTCCTGTGTAAAGCTATTTTGAGAATGAGAAGTTCATTTAACACAACAATTTATTCTGAGGGTGCAAAAATAATGTACGTCTGTAAACAATATGATTTGTCCCATGATAACCCACAAAAGAAAAATGTAAACTTGTCTAGAGAGAGAAAATTTGATAGACATATACAGCAGCCCTTACCAAGCAATGAACTGAGTTTCACTGTATTGCTGACCAATTAGGTTTAACACAGTTCCTTCTGATATTTCCTATAAATATGAGCTTTGTGAATAAAGAATTGACTTTCTGCATGAAGAAAATGGAGTCTCGGCTGATTTATTCCAACATATAAGAAATCAGACTTTTGAGTTTTCTTGTAAGTTATTCCCATGATGTTCCAGTAGGCCAAACAGATTGTAAGAAACTCTTGACAAATTGGTACGAAGGTTTTGCTTTATAAGAATATTATTTTGATTTTAATAATAAAGAACATGAACTCCATATATTGCTGAGGGATTTTAAAATTTATTTTATCATGCTTGTTGATTTCTGTAACAATTTGAATATGATTGGTGAGAGTTCAACCTTGCAAAAATAAGAACTGGCTATTAAGCTTTATCTAATCAAAGAGTAATCTGGCAACCACCAGGGTTGCAATTAATTTTCAGGACACTTCTGCAAGGCAATCTGAAGGGGTCAGGATACTCTTGGGTGAGCACTTCATCATGGATGTCAGTAGGTCCCATGCGTTCTAACTCTTCAAACAGCCACTTTATTTCTGATTTGCCCACTCTGGGAATGGAGACTCTGTAGCCATGTGGGTGAATTACCCTGGTGCATTTTGAGCCTCTGTTCTTGCATGGAAATACTTTTAAATGAAATGCTATCACATGGCGCTTCTCTCATTCCCATCTGTCTAAACCACAACTTTCAGCTACAACTCTGAACATATTCTCTGTAATTCCCTGCCCACCTCTCTTCACATCTTCCTTGCCCAGTCTAAGTTTCTATGATTACCTGTGGACCTTCTCAAAACATTAAATCTTTTTGCTGCCAGGGTACCTGAATCAGCTGATTCTCTTCCCTCTCCCCAGCTTCAAATTGATCCTCACTTCCCCAAAGCCCCTGTCCTTTTCTGTTTTCTGTTGCAGGCACCTTACCCTGTGAGATATAGCAGAGACCCTGAAGTGCCATCTGGCTCAGGGTTCACAGACACACACCCCCTTGACCCTGCTGGCAGGACCTTGGGGTAATGGTCACAAACTATATGGTGAGAAAGGACAGAAAGCATGAGCAAACCAATTGTTGAAATGTCTTCCACACAGGTGGTCAGCAGGGGAGAGATTGCTTCCTGCCTTCTTCTGATGAAAAGGAACTGCCTCAATAATGGCTTTTGAAAGCAAGAGGCATTTCCTTCTCCAGCTCTGCTGCTGGCATTTTCTATTCTTGGCTTGGGGTTTCCATCATATCCAGATGCTCCTTCCTGGTGGTGACAATACTTTCCTTCCATTGGACAAAAAAAGATCAGCAAAGTGAAGTAAGACAATTTTTTTCTGCTTTCTTCCATCTGGTATAATTAAATACTTGAGAAAAAGCAGAGTTTACATATTCTTGATCCTGGGGAAGATATATAAATCTGTCCACCAGTTCCCAACTTACTAGCATGTAGCGTTCTGGCTGTGCTACTGTTATGTTGGTTATATCATTAGAGTCCATGACAAAATCTAGTTATTCATCTCACTTATGTGTGACTTCTGTTTGATGCTGCCTGTGTTTGTACAGATTCCAGATGTTACAAGATAGACTTCGTTTAAAACTAAAGAGCTGATAGTCATCCAGCCATCATTCTGTCATGCTTTTAGGTAATTAGCATGCTTATGCTGGTAGATTTCACAGAATCTCAGAATAGTGTGAGTTGGAAGGGACCCAGAAGGATCATCAAGTCCAGCTTTTAAGTGGATGGTCCATATGGAGATTGAACCCACAACCCTGGCATTATCAGCAACATGCTCCCACCAACTGATACCTCTGGAAGCCTTTGTACCAAAGTTCATTTGGGACTGAAAATGAAGAATCTCCAAAATATCAGTTTAGCTGTTTATATTGCCAAGAGCTCAGGATCACCTAACTCCTTTCTGCTCTGTTCTCACTGTCTTCTGCAACCAGGACCCTCATGGGTGACCACAGGAGAGGGGCAGTGTGAGGATGCTGTGGTGGTGCACAGCCAGACACCATGCCTGTCACAGGTGTTGGTAATATCAGATATATCAGTTATTTCTCTATGCAGACAGATCTTTCTGAAGATTTATTCATTTCAGCCTAAATGTGCTTTTTCTGTCTTCTAGTGATATGTGCTACTTTTATTTTTCCAATTATATGAGAAAGAAACTGTTTCTTCCAGCCAATGAAGTAAGGAGAAAGAAAAGTGATTTCAGTCCATCTCACTTTTACTAACCAAAATAAATGTAAATGAACCAAAATTGTTTTATTCCATGTCAATCTGAAACATATTATTTAATTTTGAAGTCTTTGTAAGGATATAAAGACAAATTATGAGGGCAGATTTCTTCCATTCCAGAGACCAGTAGTTCAGGTGCTTCCCAGGAGGGTGGAAAAGCTGATTTCACTTTGTGCTTCTGACTGGAGGACTAGAGCCAGTGGCTCCCATTGTGGCTCTTTAAATACTGAGCTCTGGTAGCTCTGCAGTGAATGCTTTTGCTGCTGCTGTCACTGATGTTGTCCTCCAGTGAACATGATCTCTCCACTGTTTGCACTTCTCAAACTGAAGCTGTCATCCTTCTGTCTGTCAGGTTCTCCACCTGATGATCTCAATTTCCTAATTTTTTGGGGGGGAGCTTGAGGAATCCTTTGATTCATTTTTAAATTGTGGTCTTTTGGCTTCTGATTTTTGTTTATTCACTCTCCCCCTACCCTCACCAATAAAACCCCCCAAATATACATCTGACTTCCCAAACAGACCATAGTATGAAAGTTTTCTGTATCGGTAAGAAAATGTTTCTAAGCCAGTGGGCCAGGGATTTCTCAGGGGCCAGAGAGATTTTCTGAGCTCAAGATAATTTCTAAACAACATTAATTCAGCCTTTGTAGAAGAATTTACTTTAACCTAGAGAAAAATACTTAGGACAATTTAGGCTGACATATATGGAAAATCCAATAATGGGGACATAAAACCGGACATGGCCACAAATTTGGAGAAATAGAAATAGGACAATCTTTTCTTAACATTTTCAGCAGTGCAGAGACCATGAGCAGAATAAGAGCACTGTTATGCAAAAAGCTTTTTGGTGAGAAGCTTCAGGTTTAAGTTTGCAGTAGCATATTCCTTTTTTTTTTTCTTTCTAGTTCCCTCTGCTATGCTTTCATCTCCAACAATCTATTTTCTTTTATCTCGAATTTAGAGAGAATAACTATTTCTGATTAATAGGGCAGCATAGCAATGAAAAATTAAAAATTTCAAGCCCTTGTTTATTGGTATGAGATGTTGCTTAAAATACAGGCATCTATCCTAAACTTTAGGAGCTGGGCTGCCCATAACCAAAGGAAAGCAGCAGATACCTCCAAAAGGGGATTTATCCCTTTAAGGTGTCTAAAGAATTTGGTGGGATGAACTCTCTAGGGTTCCCTGTCTTTCTCCATTGACATGAACAAAGCCCAAGCGATTTGTTTAGATTAAATACTTACTTTTCACACAGAAAGAATAATCCTAGACTCAAATAATCTTATTTCTTGAAAAATGTGTTGAAAATATAAAGTGGTGGCTCTACTCCTGCCCCTTCCCTCACTGCTGCTTGGTGTCTGTGAAGGGAATGTATGCTGTACTGCTAGCAATTCCCATCCTTGGTGTGTGCTGAGGATATGCCTTGGGCCTAAGTAATGACAGCCCTCGGACCTGTGATGACTTGAAAAATCACACACCAGTGCTATCTACCCTCCAGCCAGCATGGGACGAGTGATGCATTATAAATCCAGATCCTTTACTAGTGCAGAGATTAAAGAAGCAAGAAAGAAGTTTCTTAATCCCTGCCTCAAGCAGTTTAAAACCTCCTTCTTGCTTGGGTCCTACATAAATCAGAACAGAGGACTGGCTATATTCTGCAAATAAATCTTCCTTGATATTTACTTTTCACATAACTTCTGTATAACAAATTCTGAATTCCCCACAAAATATGTTAATAAAATGTCAACCATTTTATAATTTAGTAGCATCATAGTAATAATACTTTCCTTGGTTATGTGTGTCTCTTTCAGGCAATATTTGACATACTGATTGCACAAAAAAAGTAAAATTAATATCTTAATATATCATTGAGTCTTTTTCCTAATACCAAAGCCCACTAAGTATAAACCATCTGTACAATAGTTAATCATGCATGAGTGCAAACCAAATGCAGATTAAATCAGCCTGAAAAAAAGTCTCTCCCAAGTAATTTCCACATGCATTTGAGGAAAATAATTTCAAAATATTTAAGTGTAAGAATTATTTCTGCTAGAGTTAATAATCATAATAATGACAGGGGACACTTGGTACTGAACATTGCAATAGGATTAAAGAACACACTTTTCTTTTTTTTTTTTTCTGAAAGAATAGGAGCAACCAAAAGAAAAGGCAGTGATTAATTTATAAAACATATTTTACTCATATAGAAAATCTTCTATTTAAGGATGTGTGATGCTACTTGACAGACTATCATGAATTAAACCTTACAAACAGTCAGAGGAGGGCTGGTAACAAACATGTCACCTCTAAAATTGTGTATCAAGGCAACCTGCCATGTGAAAACATTGAAACACAGTGCCACAGGTTTCAACAGACACCAGAAAACAGTTCTGTGTGTGAGCTGTTGAACACTATTTCAGAGCTGCTCTGTCACTGCACTGCCCGTGACTGTGCTGTACCCCACACATCAATCCCTGCCCTGTGTCCCTGCTGGGGACAGTTACAGGCAAAACTTGTGCTGAAATGCAAAGCCCTGACTCGAGTTGCCCTGTTGTCTTCAGCTTTAAATTAAGAAAAACCTAGTGTTCACACTGATGATCCAGAGTTTGAACTCTTTCAGATTTGGCTCAATATGTCCACACAAGTGCAATCACAGGTGTCTGGCAGGCATGTTTACAGTCACCTCAGAACCCCAACAGCCCTCCGGACCATTCACACTCCTGCTGTGAGGAGTTATCCTTTTTTATTCATGCTCAGATAATCCAGAGCCACTGACTTCTGATGTTAAACAGCTATAAAGACTTTGATGTTTGGTTTTAAACCAGACCAACTGAACAAATGTTTAATTAAACAACAGACAAG